TTTGTACCCTTTTTAAAAATGGCTGCAATGTTTCCCTTTTTCCAGTCCCCAGGGACTTCACCTGACTGCCAGGACTTTTCAAATATCATGGAGAGTGGCTTAGCAACTACATCAGCCAATTCCCTCAGGACCCTGGGGTGCATCTCATCGGGACCCATAGACTGATGTACGTCCAGGTTCCTCAGGTGGTGGCGAACCTGATCTTCTCTTACAGTGGGAGGACCTCTGCACCCATCCTGCACCCATCCTGCACCCTGGGGTGCACCGGGACGGGTTCATCCTGCGCAGGGCAGCGGAGGTGTGGGGGCTGTGCTGCGGCCCCAGGACCCTTTGCACCACCACAGCCAGTGTCCGCTCGGCTGATGTTTTCCAGCCAGTCCGTCATCGATCGGCCTGATTTCCCCATGGCCACAGGGCGTAGCTGGGAGGAGCCCTTCTGTGAGAGGCTGAGCACTTGTAGACGGCACAGCGTACAGCACCATCCCCTCCCTTTCCACCCTGGGTAGCACCAGCCAAGTCCAGCGCTCTGTCTTCCTTCTGCCCCCAGAGCATCCCATCCTTAGCGAGATGCCGTCCGTCCCTGCGCCCACCAGAGCTGGTGACGTCCCGCTGCTCTGCGGGATTCTGCCTCTTCCTCCGGTCACCGTGCTGGCCAGCAAGGCTGGTGGGACCAGGGCAGGCCAGGCGGCCGCGGGCTGCAGCCCGAGCTGGGTGGGGGTCCTTGCTACGTACAGCACCTTCTTCATGCCCCTCAGCAACAGCCTGCATAGCACCAAGGCTCTGCGCTTCTTCCTGTGGGTATGTCCCCTTTGGTCCGTCTGTCCATCCAAGCCGGGGGGGGGGGGCTGTCATGTTGCAAACAGTGTTTCCAGGAGGAGCAGGAGCAAGAGCAGCCCTGGCGTAAAGGGTGGCTGGCATGGGGCGGTTGGGAGGCTTCACGGCAGGCAGTGGGGACAGGGAAGCGCTGGTGGCCTGAAGAAGGTCTTGGTATGGTCTTACTTGTCCCTGGGGGTGGGGATCTGTTCAGGGTCACCTCTGAGCTGAATCGTCCCCCTCCAGATGCTCTCTAAAGCAGCAAGAGAGGTTCCTGAGCATCCAGCAGCTTCTGGGTGATCAAAGTCGCACTGGTGCCTGGAGGAAACTCTTCTGGAGCCCAGTCTGTGCTGCGGGCGCTGGAGGCCAGGCTGTGTTGTGCAGAGAGAGCAGCAAGGCAAGCAGCTCCCCGTGCTCTTGGCGTGGAGACGGGGGTCAGGAGCCAGGGGAGCAGGCTGGCACGGCTTGGGAGAAGGGGAGCAGGAGCCCTGGGCTCACTGGGTGAGGGCTGATGAAAGGGTCGCTGCACTGGTCGCTCTGTCCCCAGGGATGTCCCCTCTTCTCTCTCCCCCTCTGTGATTGCTGGTGGCAGCGCAGTGCCGAGGGGCTGCAGGAGAAGAAGGTGGCAGTGGAGCAGGGGACCCCGTGTCCCCTGGGGCACAGTCGGCTGCTCCAGCCCCGCTGTCGATGGAGGGGCCGAGCCGCCTGCCCTGCAGCAGCCTTGGCTGTGCCACGACCTGGCGCGGGGTCCTGCTCTGCCTGTCCCAGGGTGCTGGTCTGGGGGCAGGAGCCCCGGGCACCCTCGTAGCAACCCTCCAGGTTTAAAAACGTCCCCAGGTCCCTCTCCAGGTGATGCTGGTGCTTGAACCTGAAAGACTTTGAGAACAAGTCTTATGAGGAGCAGCTGAGGGAGCTGGGGGTGCTCAGCCTGGAGAGAAGGAGGCTGAGGGGAGCCCTCATCGCTCTCTGCAACTGCCTGAAAGGAGGCTGGAGCTGGGGGGGGGCGGTCTCTTCTCCCCAGGAACAAGCGATGGGACGAGAGCAAATGGGCTCAAGCTGCGCCAGGGCAGGGTTAGGTTGGATATTGGGAGAAAATTCTTCCCTGAAAGGGCTGTCAGGCCCTGGCCCAGGCTGCCCAGGGCAGGGGCTGAGTCCCCACCCCTGGAGGGATTTAAAAGAAGGGCAGACGTGGTGCTCGAGGACATGGTTTAGTGGTGGACTTGGCAGTGCTGGGTTAACGGTTGGACTCGATGATCTTAAGGGTCTTTTCCAACCTTAACAATTCTATGATTCTATGACTCGCAGAGACGCTCAGCAGAAAGGTGTGCTGTGCTCTGCTCAGCTCGGAGGTGCCTTGGGGGTAAAGCAGAGTGGGGAGCAGAGCAGAGTGCTGGGGAAACGGGGCTGCAGGTTTCTCCCCGGCTTCCAGTCTGCACATTTGTCTCGCTGCTTGCCGCTCACCAAAACCCGTGTGTCTTTGTGCTGCTGGCTGATGCTCGCAGCCTTGCGGGGCTTGGGGAGCGGCTGCAGGCCCTGCTCTTGCTGTATCCCTGGATAAATACAGGGCAGGGAAACCTGCTTCTGCAGTGGGGAGCAGGAGGATGGAGGTAACCTGACTGTCCTTCACCTGCTTCGGTTGTTCTCCCAAAGCAGAGAACTCTTCCCCCAAAGCAGCATCAAGCAGCAGCCATCATCCCACTCCTCCACGGCTTTTCATGGGGAGAGGCGCTGAGACCCCTGCCCGTATCCATATCCCTGGGCGCCTTGTGAAGAAGCCAGCTCCTGGGGCGTGACAAGGCCTTGGTGGGAGGGAGTGACATCTCCGTGCGCTTTGTCCTGCAGCTGAAGCACATGAAGGAGCTGGAACAGGAGAAGGATTTCCTGCTGCAGGGCCTGGAGCTGCTAGAGCGCGCCCGGGAGTGGTACCACCAGCACATCCAGTTCATGCAGGAACGCCAGAGGCTCCTGGGGAAGAACAAAACCAGTGCTGTGAGTCTGGGGCTTGTTCTTGGGGTACCCGTCTGCTTGGGAGGTTTGAAGAACCGGGCTGGGACTTGGCTGGAGCTGGCCCCACGGTAACATCCAGCCTCTTCTTCCTCCCCGTCTCCCAGGAATTCCTCCCTGAGGGCAGCCAGAGCCACCTGGGGCGCCTGCTCCCCAAGCTGCAGGAGGTGAACCGCTGCCTGGGTGACCTCCTTTCCACTGCTGGCAAGGTGAGAGCAGCAGATCAGCAGCGTGCGGTTGTTTGCATGAGCTTGGGAGCCATCCTTTCTTCCCCCTTACGCTGGTGGCTGGGCTGACATCGGAGCTGCCAGAGTTTCCCCGGGCTCTGGGGAGGTGACTTGGCTCCGTGGGCAAGATAGGGGATGGGGAACGATGAAGAGGACAGCACAGCTGGTCCCGAGCTGGGCTGGAGGACGCTCAAGGCATTTGGGGACTAAAGGAGATCCCCCAAAAGGTGTAGCCATTGTCAAGGTAATAAGGAAACCATCCTGCTGAGGTGCTGAGTCAGCCCTTTCGGGGCTGGCTGTCCTGCCAGGCTCCTGGCAGTAAGGCTTCCCACCTCTGCCTGCCTTGCTGGAGACCCTGCGATGGCCTGTGCTGGGGTCGTAGTCCTGTGCTGGGCTTTTCTCAGCTCCCCATGTGCCACAGAAACAGCTTCTGGCCTTGGAGAAAGGCTGGGGAGGGCCACGGGGAAGGAGGCTCAGTGTCCCATCCCTTCCCTTCATCTTCTCTGCAGCCAGTGAACCTCTCCTCAGCTCTGAACAGGCTGGTCCCCGTGGCGTCCCCAGCCTCAGCAGGCTCCCAGCAAGCCATCAAAATGCTGAAGGAGCAAAACCGGCTTCTCACCAAGGTGAGTGGGGGTACAGGGGGAGGAGATCCCTGGGGAAGGAATACGAGGCAGCGGAGAGTGTTCCTTCAGCTGGACCAACCTTGGCCATCCCAGAGGAGGGCGTGTGGGCTGCGCCTGGAGACCCCCCATCATGCAGCTGTGTCCAGCTGTTTGCTGGGTGAGGGTCCGCAGGCAGGGTGGGGGCATCCCTGCCGGAGGGAGACGACTGTGACAAATGCAGGTCACAGGAGGGTGCGGACGCGGCGGCTGGGGTCTGCGAGCAGGGCAGGGCCGGGCTCGCTGCTGGGGGTCGCATCCCAGCACCCGCCACGCAGCCAATGCCAGCGTTTTCCTCCTCTGAGCAGCGTTTTCCTCCTCTGTTCCGTGCAGGAGGTGACCGACAAGAGCGAACGCATCACCCAGCTGGAGCAGGAGAAATCTGCCCTGATCAAGCAGCTCTTTGAGGCTCGCGCCCGCAATAACCATGAAACGAGCCAGCTGGACTCCACCTTCATCTAGCGCCCATCTCCCCGCTCCCCGTCCTTGAGCTTCCCCGGGGCTTTCGTGGGACTCTTGCCCCAAACCCCTTGCACCCGTCGCTCCAGGTGTGGTATCTCGAGGCCTGGAGCTGCCGGTGGCCTCTCTGCAGGAGGAAGCCGGGAAGGCGTTTCCCCGCCCGTGCCTGGGGAGCATCCCCACACTGCTCTGCTGCTGGGCTTTCCAGCCGTGCTGCTCTCAAGCTGCTCCTTTTCTGTCTCTAAATGGATTGCAGGGACTGTACCCCCAGCCCCGTGATCCCCAACGCGCAGGGGGAAACAGCCGCTGCCCGTGCTGCCTGCGCGGGGGCAGCTGCTCTGCCCTTGGCCTGACTTAGGCTGAATTTTGGCTGCTCTCAGAAAAAGGTGATGCGTCTTCAACACCAGCTGGCATCTCCAGGCAAGCCTGGCCATCGAAGGGTGGCCTGTCCCCTGCTTGTCCCGCTGTTGGGAGACAAGATGGAAAATCCGATGGGGCATGCCTGGCCCCTCTCTGCTGCCTGAGTTCTGCCCGCCAGTGACGCTATACTGGGCCAGAGCAGGGCCCGAGCTGGTGCTCCTCCTGGCGCAATCCCTCTCTCCAGTTTGCGGTAGTGATGCCATAGTCGCCGTTTACACGTCTGCAGGCTCCTGTAGTTAAAGAGCCATAGACCCAAGCCGGGTAGGCCGCAGCTCTGAGCTGCTGTTTCAGGCTGTTTGCAGATCGAGGCGGACACCCCGCCATCCCTGCGTTTGGCCTGGCCTGGCCAATGCTTCCTCCTGACTGCCAGGCTTGGGGTTTTTTCGTGATGACTTTAAAAGGTGATGTCCTGCAGCATGAGGATGCGAACACAAGCCTGACTTCACAGAGGGGCCTTAGGACAAGGTTTTGTATTGAACCGAACGCGGGTGACGGAGCGGAGGCTGATGGGCTCTTTCCTTTGCACATCTCCAAGCGGGGAAATGGCAGCTTTGCCTGTCCTGGTGGTGTACGCTGGCTCCCCAGAGTGACAACCCGAGCGTGAGCTGCGCCCCTCTCCAGGTCCTTTGGGGGGGTGGTGGTGGTCTCAGCGTGGGTCCTGTTAGACTGGTGCATCGCAGGATACCTCCTCCTTCCCACCCAGCTCAGTGATGACTCTTGAGCTGAGCGGTGTCTTCCACTGTGGCTTGGTACTTGGTATTGATGGTACTTCCATAGGAGATCCTTGTGAATCCCCGTGTAGCGCAGGCCTGGCCCTCTGTAGCTCCAAGGCCAGGACCTTTCTCTCCAGGGTTGTTCCACGCTCTGACTCTCCTGGCCCAATGCTGTGGCACAATGCACTGAGCTGGGCAGAAGGTGCTGGGCCTGCCCTGCCATGGGCTGGGCACCACGCAGACCAATGCCTTTCTCACTCCTGCTTTTATCTGTCCGTGCTGTCTGTCCCACCCAGCTCCAGTTTGAGGTTGATCTTGACCTGAAGCTCACTGCAAGGCATGAATCCCTGCTCTACCCTTGCGCCCGCTGCCCTGTGCCTGTGCCGGAGGGGGATCGGCGGGGTGCCAAGGAGAGGGAGGAGCGAGGCCAGCGGTAGTCGTGTCCCCTGTCTGCCGGAGTAGGGCGTTAGTTGTCCCCTGGGTGTCGGTGCCTGCCATCTCTTCCCTGATGCCACCTCTGGTGTCCAGTGCCTGTTTTGCCTGAGGTTTAATGAAAAGCGACCCTCTTTACGAGGAGCGTCACCCCTCTGTAGGGCTAATAAAGTGGGGTGAACTATTTAACTTATCCTTCTGTCTCTCTGCCTAAATCAGCCTGTCTGCTGCTGTGAGCCTTGAAGTTCCTGGCTGTCCTGTCCCATGGGAGGTGGGGTGAGCTGAGGTTGTGCAGTCACAGCCAGAGCACGAGGAGCCCGGGGGTTTCTGCTCCAGGCCGTGTTCCCGTGCCCTTTCCCGTCCCCTCTGGGCTCCCCCGTGCTCAGGGGCTGGGGACCCCTGGTCTCCCCTCACCGCTGTGAGGGGTGATGAAGCCACCTGCACCCCTTCCAGCGCTTGTAGCTCCATCTGGCTGCTCCTCCAGAAGCTGCGCTGGGGGCTCGTACTCCTCAGGCCGTGCTGGGGTAGGTCACAACCTCTCATTTCTTTTGCAGTCCCCTCCCTCGGAGCTGGCCCCCGTGGCTGTGGGCCACCGTGGCCATGGTGCTCTGCAGTGACGCCTTCCTTCAGGGGCAGCCGGAGGGGACCTCGCTGGCGGGGCTCTCTGCGGCGCACGTCCGTCTGCCCTGGGGTGCACGTCCCTCTGCCCTGCACCGAGGGCGGCAGCACCCACTCAGGGGGACCCCGGGGCTCTATGCACAGCCGGGCTGGGGGGTGAGCTGGGACCCCCTGCACCCTGGGGGTGAGCTGTCCATGCCTCCCCTGCCGGGAGCGGAGCCGGGAGGGGGACCCGAGCCAAGCTGGGAGAGGGATCTTTGCCACAGCCTCTTTTGAGTGGTGCATAAGGCAGCCGTGAGTCCCAGATGGGGCAAGGAGGGGGGGGCGATAATTGCCCTCAGTTCCTATTTCAGGCCTTTGCTTGGATGCGAAGCCCGTGAGGTCTTTCAAAGGAAAGAGAGGATCGTTGTTCCCGCTCCGTGCAGAGCTAGGGCAGCTCGCCCCTTGCCCTGCTGCCACCGCTGCCCCAGCCCGGGCAACTTCCCAGCCGTGGCCCAGCAGCGCTGGCCCTGGGCCCGCTTCCTGCGGGATTGCTGCCGGGGTGGCAGGGAAGCTCTGGAACTGCGACGGGCCCGCTGGGAGCAGGGACCCCGGGAGCTGCAGGGCTGACCTCGAGCTGTCGCCACGCTGCTTCTGGCTCCCCATGGTCTGGCCCATGCCTGCCCCTCACCCGTGTGTCTGGGCTGTGTCCACTGCGGCACCCTTAACTGTGGGGGCTGGCACCACTGCAGTGGTGGTCTGGGAGCCACGCGACCGGGGTTTGTGGCCAGGTCTGTAAGCAATGCACTGGGTGACGTGAGTGAACATCTTCCCTTCTCCTCAGGCTCTGTTCCTGCTTGAGCTGGGTTTGCACGGACCTGTGAACGCGCCTCCAGGGCTCTGATCACATCTGGAAACCTCTGTGCGAAGCTGCGGTCCGCACGGGGAGCCGCTGGAGCAGGTCTCTGCTGTCCCCAGCCAGGACCACTCCTGCCGACCCACCTCAACTCAGCCCCTCCACGCCTGAGGGTGTCAAACCTGGGTGCAACACCACGTAGTCAACACGTGTCACCAGGCATTTGTCACGGGCACCAGGGTGACACCGCACGAGGGGTCCCCACTGCCAGAGCCTGGAGATGGGGGCTGTCAGCAGGAGCGGGCTGTGCTTGGCCCTCGCCCAGGCTCAACCCAGAGACATTTCCAGCCCCCGAGCTGCCCCGGGGGATGCAGGATCTCGTCCTCTGTGTCCTCAGCCACGCGGTTTGGGAAGGATCCAGTCACCCAGGTCTATTTGTAGTTTCTCTCTCTTCTCCTGCCCAGCTCCATGCCCTTCTCACGCCCTTGGAGGCTGGGCTGCGTGCCCAGCTACCCCTCTTAGCGAAGGGCCGCTCTCCCAGCAGAGCAATTATCCCAAATGCCAGCAGGAACAGCCGCATCTTGGGCCCCCAGCCCGTACATTTTGTGCTTTTTGCTTTTCTTCCCTGCTGCGTGGTCAGGAACTGCTCTGCCCGTCGCAGGTCCTCGCTGCCCTGGGCGGTTTGCAGCAGCTCCAGCACCCAGCGCGCTGTCGGCCCATGCATGCTGCACCCGCTCTCCTGCTCTTGCCAGTGCAAATCCCTGAGAGATGACCTGCGGATGTGATGACCTGGAGAAGCCGCTGCGTCCTGGGGCTGGTCCTCACCAGAACGGGGAGCTGGGCCGTGTGGGGATGTCTTGGCTAAGGGGGTGCCCGCTGCGTCTCAGACCTGCGAGCCGGAACCTGGTCCCTCTTGCTCCTCCCCTTGGTCCCTCGTTGCGGGTGTTCTCCTGCCCCAGGCCATCCCTGTGCCTTGCCGCCGCAGCCCTGCCTGTATCCCAGGCTCCAGCTCGCCACTGCTTTTCTCCTCTTGGTGGGGATGAAACTGCCTCCTGCCTTAGCCGCGTTACCTGGCGCGTGCTCTGTGCTCCCCGTTCCTCCTCCCTGGCTGCGGCCATGGGAGAGTTTCATTTTCCACTGGCACGTGAGGCACAGTGGAGCAAAGATCTGCTCCCAGGTGGCAAGGGACCGGGTCTGCCCTCCCCTCTGCGGGGACACTGCAGGGGCAGCGGTGGGTGAGCCTCTGCCGCGCCATCCCGGCTCGTTCCCGGGGGGCCACCGGGGCCGCGGCTGTGCCAGGTGCCCCCGACATCACCATCGTGGGCAGAATCAGGCACAGCATCCCGGCGCTGCTCCAGCGCCCTGCCAGGGCCGATGGCTCCCCGTGGCCGTGACCCCAGCCTGGCGCGGGTGCTCGTCGCTGCCTGCGCAGCCAACCCAGCCTCTTCCAAGGTACAGCTGATTGAAGCCAGCTGCTCCCTCCCGGGGAGAGCCGGTGCGACGGGGAGGGGTGGGGCTCCCAAAATTCCTGCTTTGCTCTGCAGCTGCGTGCCGTGGGGACCATGACTTTACTCCCCACATTACATAAAGAAGCAGCTGCCCGTGGCGGATATCCACCCTGTTTCCTCACCCTCAGAAGCAGCCGTCAGGGAGCAGCGCAGGGGCTGGGGTCCTGGCCAGCACCCTGCGAGGGGCCACGCTCGCTTTGGAGGTGTCCTTAGACCCAAAGTGTCCCCTGATGGGACCCCGATGCGGCGGCGGGGGCAGACACGGTGGAGGTGGCCCCCGCCTCCTGCCCTGCGGTCGGGGCACCTCTGGTCACCCATCCTAAGAGACGGGATCGTGCCAAGCGGGACCATGCCCCGAGCAGGGACAGGCAGCTGAAGGGACAGAAACGGCTGGACGGGCAGAGAGCCTGCACTGGGGCCAGGCTGCAGCCACGTCCCAGGGAGCGATCAAAACCCAACCACGCAATGACACCGGTT